AGCCTGGAACCAATATGCCTCCACCGCCATCACCTCTTTCGCCGCGGCAGCTAAGCATCACCTGCTCCTGTTGGTCCAGTCTCCTCCCTGCCAGCACCACCATCCCACTTTCACAAATGACCCCGTTGACATTACGACTACTACCACCGCCGCTTCCACAGCCCGCCCCTGCCGCTGCACTATCACTGCCATCACCATAACAGGTCTCTCCATTACGACCCGACCATGACGACCACCACCAGCTGCTGCTGCTGCTGCAACAGCGTCGCCCGTACCTTCCTGGCATCACCATGACCATCGCAGCTACAGCCGCCACCACCACCGCCGCCACCACCAATGTTATCCCGCCAATGTGTTACCCATCCGCCTGCCAACCCGTTCCAACGCTGTCTCCGCCAACGCCGCGACCACCACATCCCTCGCTGCCACTGCTGCCTCCCCCTTCCACGGCCTCAAATTCCACAAACCCTCCACAACATCACTCTGTCTCCTATCCTGTATCAAGGCTGGCATGCACGACGGGACGGAGCGAGCGCCTGGATGGACGAAGGCCATGTGTGTGTGTGTGTGTGTGTGTGTGTGTGTGTGTGTGTGTGTGTGTGTGTGGATATGAAGCAAGGGATATGGCAGGACAGCTGATGATGATATGGCCATATGGGCTGTTGCAGACTCGGTCACTGTCTCATCTCCTCCCTGAGGGCAGCAATGTGGCTCTTTTACAATCACGTTTTGCATGTGGGTTTGCAGAAGTGTCTTGACGCAGAAGTGGGCTGGAGAAGACGCGGGTTGGCGCAGGAGTGTCTTGACGCAGATGCGTTTCGGAGCAGGATCACGTCGGCGATCAATTGAGTGTGCATGTGCATGTGCATGTGATATGTGAAAGGCTCCGCATGCGATAACATGCGCGAGGTTATCGTCCATGTTTGAATTACAAGGCTAATCTCTGTGTGTGTGCGTGTGTGTGCACGGACGTTCGCGGATCCAGGCCATGCAAGCATATGTCGGTACATGGCGTGGGTTCCTAAAATTCCTAAGTCCAATTGATGCTCTTGTGTGCAGCCAGCAAAGCGAGGGGAGTGTATGTATGCGTGGTGTGTGTAGTAGTGTGTCTGTCTGTATGTGTGTGTGGGGGAAAGAGTGATTCCGGGACTTCGACCACATGAGGTCATCCGTACACGGATCCGTACGCGGCGGCGACAGAAGTGTTTGCCACCAATATGCAGGGGCCTCGCTAAGGGCGTAAGGCCCAGAATACGCGGAACGGCAAACGTCAAACTGCGTCATGAGTATGATAAGTGTGAAAAAAAACCTAAGTCAAGCACGCCTGCCGAATGTTTGGATTGCTGAGTAGTTAGCGTTGCGAGAAGGGATGGGTAGAAGGGGTCAGAGTATTGGTAAACTTCTTCGCCAGCTGCTGTACGGCGCATGGTTACGAACATGGTTGTGTACGGGGTACGGCTATGAATGGTTGCATACGGTTGCATATAGATGTGTACGGACGGCGTGCGGCTTTTTGCTTGTGTGTCTATGTTTGTGTGTTGTTTGTATGTGTGATCATGCATATATGTGTAGGTGTTGTGTAGGTGTGTGTTGCCGTGTCTTGTGCACTGCGCCCGTTGAAGGGCTTCGGAATCATATGATCATGATAAATGCGAAATCTGTCATATGCCATATATTCACCGCTGATTATTGCGGTAATCTTTTACTATAGCGCGTTCCCGTGCTGCAATCAAAAAGCAAAGCAGCTGCCGTCAAGCTTAAAAGCCCGAGCCAGTGGGTGATATACGAAGGAGTACGGACAATCGAGTGCGTGTATGTGTGCTTACGCCTACAATCCATTGATTACGTTTGCTCGTGTTTCTGACTCATTGATTCGTTGTGTATGTGTATGTGCGCTTGCGTTTTTTTATCGATTGATTACAAAACATGTGTGTGCTGACGTGTCGAGTTCGTTAATTTCCAACCATTGATTCCGTTCCGTGTTGCACGTGCATATACCTGCATACATGTATACCTGCATACCTGCATTTCCCAATCGATTGATTACGATGGACGGACGTTTGGGTTTCTGTAGGTGGGTTCCTATTCTGTGCACTGTTACATGGGTGCCTTGCGCTGCAGCGACCCCAGCGTAGATGTGCGTGCATGTGTATGTATGTATGTGTATTATGTGGCTGTAGGTCTACGAATACTTTCTGATATGAGTGACGGCGCGAAGCATATACGGATAGACCGGGATCGGAGGTACATCGAGTAGGCCAGGGAGCGTGTGAGCAAAACGGCTCCCCTGAACTGAACAGCTTGAATTGTGTGCCTGTAGTGTGGTGTTGCGTGGGTCTGTATGTCAAATTGCGCAGCAGCCTGCGGGCTAATGTCTCCGTTGGAGTGGATTTACCCCAAGTTCCGGATCCGGATTTATCACCGTTCCGCTCCCTGCGATGTAAAAACTTGTCAACATATCTGTGTACGTCTGGCGAGGATGTTGGAACGTATGTGGGCTCACCGAAACTCAGTTACCCCTTTTGGCTTTTAGGCGTGTAGATATTGCCCTTGGGCCTTCGGTTCGTATGGGTAGTTTTACAGGTATGGGGTCACGCACCCCCAACCATGTAGCACACACATACATATCTGTGTGTGTGTGTTGCGTGTACATAAGGTAGAGACAGGGGGTGGGTCGCGCGCCCTCGTTCGAGCAGGAGGGGGCTGTGGGGACCCCTCACGCCTCTCTTTCGCCCCCTAAGGGGAGAGTGCTTCGGCGGTGGTTCTCGTTGGGGAGCACGGTTAGGTGCCCCTGGCCAGCGTCAGCCCGGATTGCTGCGTAGCAGAACCCCCCCCCCCACACACACACACAGAAACACACACACACACACACAGAAACACACAGAAACACACACACACGCGCATGTGCTCACTGAAGCAAACGCCACGTGGGAAAAGCGGAGGGGGGTGCTGGGACATGCAGCAGGAAAACCTTGCAAGGACATTTGCTGGCTGGGACAGGGCATAGGCCGCCATCAGCCAAAATATATACCCAGGATACTACAGAGTGTGAATTATGTATGTGTATGTGTGTGTATGTGTGTGTGCGAATGCGTATGAATGTGTGCGAACGTGTGAAGGATGGCAGGACGCCCCCCTGGCTGAATGAAAAGTGGGCCATCTACGGCGAGAAGACCAGACTCTTCTCTATCATACTCTACTGGCAGCTTGCATCTGCTTTTAGGGGTTGCCTGCCTGCCTGGGGAGGTGGCGTTTATTCGTACGTACGTAAATACGTACGTACGTGGTACAGCTGGTCATCAGTAGCATTGGGTGTTATTACGCCCATCACATGTACGTGTTCCGTCTGAATGAATCGCAATATCCGTCCTTTATTGGGGTCCACTGTGACATGGTAATGCCACCCATTTATGACTAGGGTAATCACTGCCAGGGGAGAGTCGCACACACAGCAAAGGTTGCTTCATGCCTTTTCATGCAAGATGTCAGTGTTTGGAAGCTATGGAAGGGGCGATGAAAGCCTATGAAAACCCTCCTCACGCCCCAAAAGCGCTAATAAGGCACCATCCAGCCTCCCCCTTGCGTCGTCTACGCTCCTTGCTGCGCGTAATGTATCCCGGGACGATTACTCTGCCATCCGATCTTGTCGCCAAGGATAGCTATTTGACCTGCGGTAGGAGAACTCCATAGTCCAGGCATAAAATAGCGTGTGCGGGCGATATCCCGTGTCGAAGACTATCGGCCTGCTGTCGGATAGGTTCAAAGGGGTCCAGTGCTCCGATTATTCTACAGCATGAGGTTTTCGCTGGATTTTTATCGTTAGATTTTTATTACGCATGGACGCGACTTGCAGGGAGACTGCCCAGTAACCTTCATAAATGTAACCGTCCAACACATCCTGACCCTGGCATTGTAAGTTGTTGACAAATAAAAATTGATAGTAGCTGCCTCTATCAATAAGCTTCAACCACTTAAGGACTTTTACAGTCCCAAGTTTGGGGAGCAGCAGCTGTGTTTGCAGTTACGTAATAGATGTATGTGCCTTTTATTTATTCATTCCCCCTAGGAAACATTGAAATAAGAAGCTATTATGTCATCTTATACATTGCTGCTGCCTGATGATCGATATGTTCTGTAAAGTCCAGAAGTACGACATGCAGCAGCTCACGTTATCCGCGAAAATAATCACGCTGATGTGATTCTGTGGATTACTAGGAAGCTTAAAGATGAATTGTGCTTCATTTAAATCCGAGAAAAGGAGCGTTTGCCGTTGCGACACCCTTGCGTGGACAGCGGACGAAGACGCGTGTGCCTACAGGAAGTTAATCTAAGGGAAAGAATACCTTTAACAACTTAGTTAAAATTATGGGCATGAACGGCTCCCACGGCCCCCCACCATGAACGCCCCCCATCGCTGGACCAGCCCGTCGTACATGCGACATATCATTTAGGTCTTCGTGAGATGATCACTGCTACCTTGCGCGCTATAAAATCTAGAGTATTAAATATAAGCCTGGCTCAGGTGGTCTTCACATACGCTTGAAGGAACCTGGCTGGCATCGGGAGATGCTGCCGACCTGCGACCAGGGGCTTTAGCTCTTAAGCTCTTCGTGATCTCTACATGGGCGTGTTGAATATATAGCACGAGTGCTTGCTTTGATTACTTCTCACCATAGACGTAGGTTATCGGAGGCGCCATGGGCCGCCGCGCTGCGTTCGCGGCGACCATCGCGGTGGTAGCAGCGCTTTTCTCTGAATTGGCGGCGTCGCAGCTTAATACAGGCAAGTCGACATTCTATTACGACATACATCCCTTGGCGATTTAATATCCTTGCTGGAGCGGGGCTACCTGTAATTGCAGCAATAACCACCTTGCCATAACTGCCTGTCGGACTAATGGTAAATCATAATTAAGGCATAATTGAGATGTTTATCCCACATGCCATGGCACAGAACTGTTGTGGATAGATCTGAGGGGTTACGCATGCCGCAAGAGCAGCATGCGGGGTGGGCTGAGTGGTACAGCGAACGACATGCGTGTTTGCCTGTGCCCTGAAACGAAAGTAGCGCAATCAGGTAATAAGTATCTGTAACCTCTATGTTTTGCTGCTCAAATGCATCTTCATGCGAGAAAGAATGACTCTGCTGTGCGCGCCGAACAGTTGTTTGAACGGCATCGAAAGATAAGTCGGGCCCCAGCGCCCTCTATACCGGCTAAAAATTAATTTGCATATAAAATATTGGATTTTTATACAATTTTGGCTATATTTTTGAGGAATTCCCCAAGCTGTGCGGACTGGCTATGGCTTCGAGGCAGAAGTAGTTGTCGCCTCACGCTTTGCAGCATGTAACCCTCCGATGCTTATTCAATCTTTACCTATAGCAGCACAGGATTATGCGGCCAAGGCAAGCTCGGGTGCCCTATAGCGGAGAAGCAAGTTGGCATCAGCAACCTCCTGGCCCCTTCCAAAGCGGCTGTCTTCACGATATGAGCAATTCATACGTGTACATACAGATATGCAGTCACAGCAAGTGCCCCGGCCCCAATCCGTGCAGCGTAGCTGGACGCAAATGAACACAAGGCCCTTTGTATTTCGCCCACCCGAATTTCCTTCCTACGTTCGCCTTTGACAAAATAATAATAAGAAAGACACAGCAAAGCCATGGTATGGGTCGGGGAAGATGGACCTTTGTTATCACACACAAGAAAGAACAGCTGTACACAAGGATGGATTCAACAGCTACGCTCTCATGTAGTACAAGAAATAGCAAGAAAGGAACTGCCACCGTCCACTCCCACTTCACCTTTAACTTTTTACCCCAAAACTGATCTCGGTGACCAGCCATAGCTTCCCTAACTTCGCGCCGCTCTGCTGCACTCAAGAAATCACGATAGTCAGCCGAGGGAAGAATTGGTGTCCCTACCGTCGGCCCTGCATGTGCAAATGCAGTTAACGGCACTGCAACTTCCAAGAGCATCGTAGTGTACGTCTACAGCAACTATACAGTCGCTGCGGACAAACCCCGTGTTGACATCCTTACAAGCATTATCAGATCCAAGATCCCCGGGAGCCTCACCATGCCCATGGCTAAGCAGCCCTACTTCGGCGACTACACTGTCGGCTACGTTATCCCTTCAAATAAGGTGAACAGAAAATCAATACTCGGGCAACCAGGCTTCTGCTTTGCTACCTGGTTGCATACATGCATGGGGGGTTGCGTGAGTGTTCACGGGTGTCCCCCTGCCCAACTGTTGCGTCATAATTTTTGGGCCAACACATCGGGCAAGCTTTTTGTTTGCGTTCTGTGCTTGTGCGCGTGTGCGCCCCGTTGGATTTGATTTTGAATTCGGCGATTTCTGTAGGTTGTGCAGCCCAGCCAGAAATCCCATTATTGCGAAGTAGGTGAACGGTTGGCATGCCACGTCTGTACAGCTACCGATCTTGTTCTTGCATTTACCTGTACTGCCAGGACAGGAGCTGTGGGTAGCAGCACCAGCTGCGGCACAGAGGCTCATGGGTTCTTGGTTCAATATATGATATGGCTAAGGCACGTGCAGTGCCTGCAGGCAGTCGGCACGCACGGCATGAACTGATTGGAGCTCGCCCCGATCGCTTCGCCATGATGTCCTAATCCCTTATCTGCTGGCTTCAGGGGTCCTACTTTACGCTGGAGCAATTAGGAGTTAAGCCTCCTCGGGTAGCGGCTCTGACAGCTTTCGTCCGGCGTGGCGGCGCACTGGTCCTGCTCGATGGCTACGATTACACCAACAAAACGAACTCACTGCTGCCGGTCATAGCCGCGGTGCTGGGTACAGATCCACTCTGCAGAGCAATCGGCGTCACCAGCGACCTAAAGCAGCAACGGCGGATCAGCACCGGCTATTTCATGAACCTGGATGAGAGCATCAAGGTGCGGATATCACACTTGTTTCCTCTTAAACGCCAGATATAGCGCTCCTAGTAAAGCCACGATGTGCACGATGCCACCGGGCACAGCATTTTACCGTGGATTGTGATTCAGCGCCCTATGACACCAGGGGGAGGGGTGTAACGCCTCCCTAACAATCACCCCAGGCGGTCAGGGAGGAGGTCAGGGATTACTACAACCCCTTCGTTCGTAGGCAGGGAAGTCAGTAAACTCGCTCACCCGGGGTAGGGCGGAGTAATTGGGCTACAGGGGGTTAGGGAGGGGGTGGCGCGGGCCTGTCCGAGAGCGGCATATACCTTACTGAAGAACAGATCGCATAATGCCTAGCTTGACCTCTTGGAGTGTTAGCATCCTAGATCTTCAATAGTTAAACTCCACGAAAGATAATTCAGTGTAAGTTTTGAATTTTGAAAGCCATTATGAGCTATTCCGCTCCGTCTCGCTCGCATTTCCTCACGCAAGGTCGTGGACCTTGCTGACGGTTGCAGGGCTACCGAGCTAGGATAGGCTAGGATCAAGCTCAATTAGAAGATTTTTATTCGTTAGCAAATTGTTTGGCTTGTGTACTTTCTATAGGGGATTGCGGAGCATGCAGGGTCTGATGACACCGTTCCATGGCATCCATGACGATTAAACACCACTTTACAGCAACGAATGCATGGTGCAAAATGTCACCATCGCTCAGTTTTATGTAATCGAGCGAAGTAAGATGTGTCGCTGCGTAGCCAGATGGTCGTCGGCCCAAAAGGTGACGGCGGAAGTGTCGCGCTCCCGAAAACCGCTGTGCCTGCAGGTCAGTCGCGGCCTGGGTCTGTCCAATCTGAACTGCGAAACTGGCAAGTCCATATATTCTGCCATCGTGAACAAGACGCCTGTAGCCGGAGCTATCTTTTGGCCCTTAGGCCGAGGGGCGGTCTATTGGATCGGATCTTCGTTTCAACGGCCGAACCTCCGGGGCTTTCAGCAAGTAAGTTTTAGCTGCTACTGCCGATGCTACACACGCACGTTCAATGATCTCCCTCGGTCTTGCTTCTCCGGCCTCTGTGGCCATGCGTACCTCATCCGCACATGAGCACGTTAACTTATGAAAGCATTATGCGCACAAAATGCCCAGTCGCACAGACCAACGCATCCACAGAAACGCATCCAAACAAGTAGACATTCGGGTGAGCGCATAGCTTTTCTGATCACACACAAGCTACACACACACGCCCCTCTATTCTCCGCAATCCTGCAGGTGTTAGTTGCTGCGCTGTCAACAGCAGTTGACGCCTGGAAGCAAGGGCCTCCTCTAAGCCTGGCCCCGAGACCACCACAACCGCCTCCACGTGCACCACCACATCCCAAGCCATCACCTCGCCCTCCCAAACCATCACCGCGTTCCTCTCAGCCATCTCCCCAGGGTGCCCCGCAGCTTCCACCACCGCCACTTCTACTTCTACCTCTCCCACCTTCACCACCATCTTCACCAGCAGCACCGCCTCCAGACCCTCCATCACCGCTGCCCCCGTCCCCAGCGCCACCGCCACCTCCACCGCTACCCCCGCCTCTGTCGCCTGCCACCCCGTTACCACCCCTCCAGCCACCACTTCTACCACCGCCATCCTTGCCTTCATCGCCTGCCACCCCGCCACCACCCCTCCAGCCACCACTGCTACCACCGCCATCCTTGCCTTCATCGCCTGCCACCCCACCACCACCCCTTCAGCCACCACTGCTACCACCGCCATCCTTGCCTCCGCCGCCTGCCACCCCACCACCACCCCTTCAGCCACCACTGCTACCGCCGCCATCCGTGCCTCCACCGCCTGCCACCCCACCACCACCCCTTCAGCCACCACTGCTACCGCCGCCATCCGTGCCTCCGTCGCCTAACCCCTTGCCATCCCCATTGGGGCCAGCCCTGCCTCCGTCGCCAACCCTTGCTCTGCCCGAGGCACCATTACCTCAACCCTTCTCTCCCCTTCCAAGATTCCTGCCGTTCACATCCTCCCCAAATCGTTCACCGCGTCCACCGCCTTCACCACGGCCGCCCCCCTTCCCGAGGTCTCCAAGACCTCCCCCGAAAGCGCCGCGCTCCCCGCCGCCAATGCAACACGCCCCACTGCCACCGCCCCCTCTCCTGCCTATGTTACCATCCGAACTTCTGCCACATCCACAACCAGAAACTCTCCCGACCACCAACACAATCTCCCCACCAACACAATCTCCCTGGCCCGCACCTGTACCACTCCTGCAGCCTTCTCTTCCATCGCCGTCCGCTCCTTCAACATCGTCTGTACCGCTGCCGCCTTTCGAAACCACTTCTCCCCAGCCGCCGTCACCACCTCCATCCGTGCCACCCCCATCTGCAACCATGCCATCAGCACCGCGGAAGCCATCTCCCCCACGGCCCCCTCGACCACCACCCCGTCCTCCAAGTCCTCCTCGGCCATCACCCAGGCTGCAGTTGCCGTCCCCGGTTGCCATCTCCACACACACCTCCCCCGCTGCCACCACTGCTCCCCCCACAGGCGCCCCCTCCATCATCACCGGCCCCCCCACAACAACCACCGCCACTCCAACTATCACCGATGTCCCCTCAGCAAGCAACTCAGCGGAGAGCTCCACCGACACCACCGCCGCCACTACCACCACCGCAACTACCGACATAGGCTCCACATCCACCGCCATCAACGCCACCGCCATTCCAACTAGCGTTCAGAGCCTACAGCCCACCGCCTAGACCTCAATAACAGCTGGTCCCAACACCCAAACCCCGTGATTTCTACAACGCATCATCGCATCATCAGAAGAAGAAAGAACCTGCACGCTGATACATCCCCTGCCCCGACGGTTGTGCAGTCTCTCATCAAGGGGGATCGGGCCATCATGGCGGCAGTGTGCAATAGCGCTGAACATGGAGGGATGGGCCGAGGGATGGGCCTAAGGGGCTACGGGTGGGATTAAGCCCAAGATGTGAAGATTTGTTTTGGCCAAGATGAGGGTCGCCACTGCCTAGTGGGGGTGCACTGCCGGCGCACTGTAACGCGTTGGGTCGCGCCAACCGCTTTATGTTGTAAGCGAAGCAGCCTGACGTAGCAGCCCCCTACCTGACTGGATAGGAAGTGGATGTTAACAGGGCATATCAGCTCCGCTGTGGGATTCTCCCAATTCTGTTGGTGGCTAATTTGAGCAGTCGAGTCAGCAAGCGCAAGGATATTCATGGCTCCCTTACATGCGCGAACAGATGAGAACATACAAACGAGGGTGGGAAGCGGGACGAGTCAGGGATTGTGGATGGCTCGAGGGCGCTCCTGTGGTTAGGTTGGGACGGGGGGTACTACTTCCATGACGTAATGCCCAAGAAGACCGCAACCGCCAATTCGCGTCACCATGAACGTTATGATATGTAAACGTCCGCGACACACAGCTGCAGAGCGTTTTGTTAAACGAATGGGCATTGTCGCGACAGGAGGTGGAGGTAGCACGGCGTGCGGAAACGTGATTGCAGCTGCAGCACTGCAGGGCATTCCCCAAAATTAGTTATATAGTCCATTGCCTCTCGGCTCTGACGGAACACCCCGCACTCGTGCGGAACTTGAAATTTGTAAGTTATGCGTTCGGGGCCGGCTTTGTATCTAGTAGACCCTAGGCGGATGGCGGGTAGGGTGCGTTGGGTAGATTACACCAAATAACCTTCACCCTGGCTTAAGAGTGGTTTGGGATTGGCGGACGATAATCTGTTAGACTAATCGAGGAGATTCATGCCCCCCACCGTGATTAGACAAGCCCGCGGGAAGCGGGGTCGGCTTGGTGGGATTTGGCTATTAGGGGTGTCGGTGCTTGGCTGAATTCGCCGCTGTGGCTGTGGCGCTTCTCCTGGGCCCCCGCGGCCGGTCGTGCCGAGGGTTTCCCCCCGGCCATGCTGTGCAGGGAAATGACTCGTAGTTGTTTTGGACGGTCCGGGCCGTGGTGCGGTGCTCACATACGTGGGTACCTCTCACGCCGCCTACATACTGCACACGGCTAACTTACATACCGCTGTTTGTAGGGGTGCAGGGTGGTGCCAAGAATTACTAGTACCGGTACTACGACCCGGTGATCAATCTCTGTAACGTCATTCATTCAGTTGCGGATATTGTGAGGGCCTTGCCGTACAAACAGAATGCGACGTGCTCGCTTACCGTTCTCGTATGACCGCCCGTATGACCGAGGACGTGCACGCGAACCCGTTTGCTCTGGCCGTACGTTTCGGCATTCGAGGTATTCTTGGGCATTCTTGGCACTGGAGGTTTCTACCGGCGGGCATCAAGCAAACTCGTCCTGTTCTGTTTCTGTCCTGATAACTTTTGCAACCGCAGACACGTCGGGATGTGGGCAGTGGGCAATCCAGGTAGTCAGCAGCCGGGTTGTTTGCTACCGAGTTGTGCTGGCGGTTGGCGGCTTAGCTACTGTAACGCAACACGGCAGGACTGAGCAATAAAATGCATCAGGTAGATAGCTCCAAAGTCACAAATGTCCCATTCACGTGAAAAGTATAATACTATGCGCAAATTGTCAGCCCCGTACTTAGATGTCGTTTGCTGTTGTTTGCAGCCCTTGTCCTAGCAACCTTTGTTCTAGCAGCCTTTGTTTTGCGGCACGGACAAACTGCGAGCAAATTTGACATCCTCACCATCTGTTGTCATCATTCAATCAAACCCTTTGCTTACAAGTCTAATGGAGTCTAAGTTGTTGGTAACCCTAGAAACGGCTTGGTTCGTTTCTGAGAAGGTATCTATATAGAGATTCAAACGTTCACTGGCTTGCGAAGTTTTAAATTTAAGGCATCGGAATGTAAGCATAACTTTTATGGCCAATACTTGTAAACACGTCGTGTATTGAAGGCACTTCGTTCCGAGACTGCGGCAGCTAGGCATGGATAATGGACCAAAACGTAAGCCAAGTCCTTAGTATTGAATACATTAAACGAAGCTCTCCAACCTTGCAACCTTTATTTAGTTCGTTGTATAACCCCAACGGGTCCGTCGTACGTGCGACATTCCAATATCCCAGTCACTGCCGCCCTTCCTTTGCAGCAGCCCCGCTTACACAATCAGCGGGTTGCGCTTACGCCTATCAATCAGCCACGCGATCAACTCTGGCTTGCGTTAACGAGGTGATGTAGGGTTGATACCAAACGGGTCCTTGACTGTAAGACCCAGTTCATAACTCGAGCTTTTGTGCATTAGTATTTCAGCATATCAAGCTCATTCCTGGACCCCAGCGGAGACGTAGCCCGCCAAGAGGGCCATGGATGGCGGCAAGGCGTTCGCGGCGACCGTCGTGGTCCTAGCCGCCCTCCTCTGCAAGCCAATGGCGTCCCAGACAATCACAGGTAATTTAAACAGTCATACAACACGTATAACATTGCGTATAGTACAAGGGGTTGTCTTGCGGGTGTTGTGCTACTCCAGCAGTAACTGCCCGTCAGTTAGCCGAGCGATACATTGTAACGAGGTCGTGCAACTGTAAGGTAGTTGCTCTTATCATATAAGCACGGATAACTAGGATTGTTTTTTGATCCATTCTAAAACAAGCAATGGGATTTCCCAACTCGCTCTGACCTTGCCGATGCACGCACGCGCAGCGGCCAAAAGTACCAACAGCTTCACAGTGTGGCTATACAGCAACCCAAATATTGTTGCGGGTGATCCGCGCGTCGAAGTTCTTATGGACATGGTCAGATACAAGAATCCTGGGAGCGCCACGATGCTCACATCTGCGCAGCCGGACCTCGGTGGCTCGTCTGTGGGCTACTTGATACCCTCAAACAAGGTCAGTGGTTAATTGTTTCAGATCTGTAAAAGCTGGCGCAAGGTCAGATCCCCGTGTGTTGCGCAGGGATCATAGCACGAACGCGCATGTTGTAGACCAGCATCGGGACAACTAACCAGCAGGGGTCGGTCCACACAACATAGGAGATGCTGTGGTTACAGAAGATAGGTCTGATGCTAGCTGACAAACGGGCAGCAAAGGGGATTCGGCTCACGCAGCGGGAGCGAGGTACACGCATACCACGAAAATTACATTACATGGCTTAGTGTTTCGAGCTCAATCTCGTGATATTCATCAAGGCCTATGATCACTTATGGGCACGTCATAATTTACACGTCTCATAATTTACTCTGCAGAGTGATGTAATCGTGCCGATGCACTCTGCAATATGCCACCTTCACGTCGCACAATAAAGTTATGTGTTATGTATAATAAGATAATATCTCTTCTGTTGTTCTAAAGCTAGAAATGGCGGCCGAGATACCGCACAGCCAAGTTAATGTCGTCGATCTCTGCCAACCGACAACCCGTAGCCATAACCTCCATAAGATTCATTGAGCCATATTTGCGTTTGCAAAGTTTTCCCATGCAACTTACCTAGCGCCTAGGCGCAGAAGCGGTGCTCGACCCTTTACGGTGCGTATTAAAGCACTTTTGTCATTCAGTTCAACCTCTTGAATTGCGAATGAGGTCTCTGGCCGGTAGCCTGTACAATAAGTTATAACCTGTCAAACCCTAATATAAATAACTACTTGTAATACGCAACATCGCCAGTTCGGTGGCCTTTGATGACAAAAGATGCAGAGGAAGGGACGTGCGGAGAGACCTCCTGGATAAACCAAGAAATTTTTTAAAATTATAGAAGAATTATCCAAAAATGTCCAAAAGGTTTCAGCGCTCAACTCAGTTTGAAGGTTTTGTGTTTTGTTGGCTACGAGCTGATTACGGTGCGGCTGGGGACTCGATCCTACACTAGGATCAAGGCCATAACCGATGAAGCCAGCGCAATCACGAAAAGGGGCTATTGCACCGGTGTTGAAGGATCTTTCATGTCTCTAGTCCTGCGGGGTGCTTGCTGTGAATTGCAAAATGTGTGTGGTTGTTACAGTGGGCTCTTACAGTGGGCTCTTACGGTGGGCTCTTACAGTGCAAAATGCTTGCATCCGTTGACTGCGTATCCCGTGAGGACGCGATTTGTCGCAGTCCGTCCCGCACACACACCGAGGTTGCTCCAAATGCCGCTCATGACATGGTGTAATCGCGCCAGTCGATTTTTCGCCTGACCGGAGAAGCGCTCTCCTTAGGCCCGCCCTCAAAGCAATTGCATCCAGAGTTCGCATAAAATGCCATTCGTGCCTGCCAATACCTGCAGGGGTCCTATTACGATCAGGAAGAACTGGACGTTCGCCCCGAGAAAATCGCGGCTCTGGCAGCTTTCGTCCGACGTGGCGGCGCACTCATCCTACTGGATGGCTACGTGCGCGCGAACAAAACGAACTCACTGCTGCCGCTGATTGCGGGCGTACTGGAGACAGATCCGCTTTGCAGAGCTATTTGCATCAACGATGATCAAATTCAGCATCGGCGCATCAGCACCGGCTATTTTGCAAATCTTGAGCCTATGATTAAGGTGAAAGATTTTTCTCCCTTAGCGTGCTTGCTGGTGGCGGTGAATCCAAGGCGAAGCTCGGAAAACGTTTGGTCACTTCATCCGTCTATTATAATCATGTACCGAATGGGAATATGCCTGAACGGCGTCGAGCGGTTTCCGCATTCGGCGTCGAAACAGCCGAAACCAAACCCACGCACCCTTCAAATGCAAGTGGTAACTAATAATTTACCTTTCCCATTTTCGTTACTCGCAGACGAAAGCAGCTCTGGGTCTGTCCAATCTGAACTGCGAAACTGGCAAGTCCATCTATTCTG